ATGTTCTCACATCCTAGTCTTTGAACACCTCTGACCTTACAGGCGTCTTCTGAAGGAACAGCATTTCTCTCTCTCTGTATCCCCTCTCCCTACACACACACACACACACACACACACACACACACACACACACACACACACACACACACACACACACACACACACCATTTTCTCTATCATTAACATCTTACATTAGTATGGTATATTTGGATCTAATGTTGACACTTTTGTTTTAATTTTTTATTGTACTTTAGATGAAGGTTTACAGAACAAATACTTTCTCATTAAACAGTGCACGCATTGTTTTATGACCTTGGTTAACAACCCCACGACATGTCAACACTCTTCCCTTCTCGAACTTGGGTTCCCTGTTACCAGCTTTCCTGTCCTCTCCTGCCTTCTAGTCCTTGTCTCTGGGCTGTTGTGCCCCATTAGTCTCGTTTTGTTTTTTGAGCCTGTCCAATCTTTGTCTGAAGGGTGAACCTCGGGAGTGACTCCATTACTGAGCTAAAAGGGTGCCCAGGGGCCATACTCTTGGGGTTTCTCCAGTCTCTGTCAGGCCAGTAAATCTGGTCTTTTTTTGTGAGTTAGACTTTTGTTCTACATTTTTCTCCAGCTGTGTCCAGGACCCTCTATTGTGATCCCTGTCAGAGCAGTCAGTGATGTTAGCTGGGCACCATCTAGTTGTACTGGACTCAGTCTGGTGGAGGCTATGGTAGTTGTGGTCCATTAGTCCTTTGGACTAATCTTTCCCTTGTATGTTGTTTTCTTTATTCTCCCTTGTTCCTGAAGGGGTGAGACCAGTGGAGTATCTTAGATGGCCCTCACGGGCTTTTAAGACCCCAGACACTACTCACCAAGGTAGAATGTAGAATATTTTCTTTATAAAATGTCATGCCAGCTAAACTAGATGTTCCCTGACACCATGGTCCCAACAGCCCTTAGCCTAGCAATTCGGTCCCTCAGGGAGTTTGGATGTGTCTATGGAGCTTCCGTGACCTTGCCTTGGACAAGTTGTGCTGGCTTCCCCAGTATTGTGTACAGTCTTACCCTTCACCAAAGTTACCACTTACCTATTGTCTATTTAGGGTTTCCCCCTCCCCATTCCTCCCTTCCTCGTAACCACCAAAGATTGTTTCTTTTTGTGTGTAAACCTTTTAGGATCTAATATCGATATGTTATTAACAACTGAAGTCCATAGTTTACATTAGGCTTCACTTTGTGTGTTGTACATTTCTGTAGGTTTTGACAAATGTGTCATGTATCCACCATTATAGTATCATAAAGAATAGTTTCACCACCCTAAAAATCCCCAGGGCTGTTTTCTGTTTATCTTTCCTCCTCTTCCCCCTGAACTCTTGGCAACCTGGCAACCAATGACTTTTACTCTGTCTACAGTTTTCCCTTTTCTAGAATGTTATATAGTTGCAACCATACAGTATGTAGCTTTTTCACGTTAACTTCCTTCACTTAGCAGTGCATTTAAGAATTCCCCATGTCTTTTCGTAGCTTGATAGCTCATTTCTTTTTATCTCTGAATAATACTCCATTGTATAGATGTGCTGTAGTTTTGTTTCTCCATTCACCTATAGGAGGACATCTTGGTTGTTTCCAGTTTTTGACAGTTATGAATAAAGCTGCCGTAAACATTCATGTGGAGGTTATTGTGTGAATATAAGTTTTTAGCTCACTTCAGTAAATTCCTAAGAGCTTGAGTGCAATTGCTGGATTGTACGGCAAGCCTGTGTTTAGCTTTGTAAGAAATTGCCAGACTGTCTTCCAAAATGGTTGTACAATTTGCGTTCCCATGCGCAATAAATGAAAGTTTCTGTTGCTCCATATCCTTATCAGCATTTGGTGTTACCAGTGTTTGAGATTTTAGCCATTCTAATAGGTGTGTAGTGGTATTTCATTATTGTTTTAATTTGCATTTTGCTAATGACACGTGATGTTGGGCATCTTTTTATATGCTTACTTTCTGTCTGTGTGTCTTCTCTGGTGAGGTGTCTTTTCAGCACTTCCATCCACTTTTTAATTGAGAGTTTTGTTTTCTTGTTGTTGTTAAGAACAGTTTGTATATTTTGGATACAAATCCTTTATCTGATAAGTATTTTGTAAATACCTTTTGCCAGTCTATAGCTTGTCTTTTCATTTTCTTAACAGTCTTTTGCAGGGCAGAAGTTTTTGTTTTGTTTTGTTTTGTTTTAATTTTAATGAAGTCCAACCTAAGTTTTTCCCTTCGAGCATCCACTTTTGAAATAAAATATCATTGTTACTAAGGTTTAGTTTGCACCTTTTCACAGTTGTCGGTGTCATTTATTGATATCCTAGCAGTTGCCTAGTTCCATACTAGAGGAGTAGAGGAACAAGATATGTGTCTGTCCTGACTACAGAGCTCTGGTTTTTGTCTCAAGAGCCAGTAAGCAGGGTGAAGAATCCGTAATTTTAGAAATAGATATAGTAGGTGGCTATGGAGCACACCTCTACTGTGACATTCTCTAAATTCATTAATTCCAATTAAATTCAACAAACGCAGTTCGCAGTATTTTTTTAAGGAAGTTTTATATGGCGATATTATCATCAACATAAATCTGTCCCTTGGAAGAAGTACAGCCAGACTGCTCCTTAGAAGTGAGGATGGTGAGATTTCATCTTACATACTTTGAACATGTTTATCAGGAGGGGCCAGTTCCTGGAGAAGGACTTCATAGTTGGTAAAGTAGAAGGTCATCGAAAAATGGGAAGACCCTCAGCAAGCTGGATTAACACAGTAGCTGCAAACAATGGGCTCAAGCATAGCAATGATTGTGAGAATGGCACAGGACCAGACATTGTTTCATTCTGTTGTCCGTAGGGTCGCTATGAGTCGGAACCAACTTGACAGCAACTAACAATTATTATCTACCTAATTAATAAATACTAAATAGCAAAATCTGAGTAGTCACTCCTGACTTTTAGTAATAAAATTGGAAAACAAAGAAGCATACTAAGAATGTACCAGAGTCAGTGTGGTCGTATACTCTGGACAACTGGTGTAAAAAATTGGAATGAATTGCTATGTCAGTCACTTGGGTTCACTGACTTCTTCTCTGCCGTACTAGCAAACTGCACAAGCAGTTCAGCCCATTGAATTCTGCCAGCTTTTGGAAAGTCCATGTTTTCTACATTTTTTTTCTTGTTATTTTTTGACACTACTCTTCTCCCCACCAACCCCCTTCAAGGCAATTTTCCAGCTGTTCCCTAGAGAGTAGGTTTATAGGCAAGTTTCTTTTGTAGGCTTCCAGCTGGCTTCATTTTCACTATTGCCATGAAGTTGCTGCCTTTGTAGCATTTATATAATATTATCCATCATGCATTGCCTTGGAATTTTCCCTTTGCATTGTTGACTTCATATTTTTGGTTTGCACATGCAGACTATCTCCTGGTTCGGACATCTACGTGACGGTCTCGTCCATTGCTTTAGCAAGATCCCAGCAGTGCCGTAACTCCCCTAGCAACCTGTCTTCATCCAGTGAGACTGGCTCTGGTGGGGGCACTTATAGACAGAAGTCCATGCCAGAAGGGTAGGTATGCGTTCCCCATTTTCTGCTATCTTTCATCTGTAATTCAGACATGTAAAATAATTTCCATTCAGCTAGCCTTGAACAACTTAAACAAAAGAATAAATGGGACAATGTGGTTACTATTCCAGACAGAAAAATGTTTTAATGGGTGATTCAAACCACTTCTTAGGAAGTTTATTATTCTCTAGTCTCTGAGGTCTCGATGCAGAGAAATCAAATTGCATCAGTTTCTTCATTACCTATATTTAGTTTCATAGTACAGACTCTGTCACTTCTTAATATTTCCTCCAACGTGGACTCAGCAGTGTGCTACTTGCACTGGTTGGAGTTTGTCTGACTGTTAAAGTAGAGGAAATGATAATCACATCCGGAGCTTAAAATTATTTTTCTCACACTTAAAAGTCTTCTCTGATTTCAGCCTGTGGGTTTTTTTGTTTGTTTGTTTGTTTTAAATCTTTCTTGAAAAGACTAAATGCCTAAAAGTAACTATTTGCCTCAGATAAAACTTACAAAGTAAAATTCTAAATGTACATGATTTTAGAGGCCACTAAAGGAAGAACAATTGGAATGTCTGAAGCTGGGAAGTAATTAGCAGCAGAACGTTACATAGTGCACACTAAGCTGCCTTTGCCCAGAGGAAGTATAAAACGACCATCAAAGACTTCATGCTGAAATGTCTCTCTCAGGAACTTGACTAAGAACTCAGCCATTTGAAAATCCAGTGTGAGGTGCTTTGAAAACTGGTATTTCTATTCTGATTTTTCCCCAAATACATCTTTAACACATAGATACATGATTTGCTCAGTTTCTTGATGTATCACAGTGTCACAAAATAAGTATACTTACTAAACATACCCTCATAGTGAGTATTTTTTTCTCCATAGCATTCTGTAGGGGCCCTGGTGGCACAGTAGTTAGAGTGATCAACTGCTAACTGAAAGGTCAGCAGTTCGAAACTACCAGAGGCTCCTGGGGTGGGGGGTGGGGAGAGGGGAGATGTGGCATTCTGCTTCCTTAAAGATTATAGCCTTGGAAACCCTGTGGGGTTGCTATGAGTTGGAATCAACTCGATGGCAGTAGGTTTATAGCATTCTCTTGGTTTTACAGCTATTCAACATTATTTTTTTGTTGTTGCTAAATGTTTATGTTAGCAGAATGTAGGTAATAAAACCACTATAACATATGCTTTCCCCCACTCCGCTGTCTCCCCCAGGATTCCCTTGGTAGCCTGTCTAAAATGCACATTTCTTATTTTAATTACTTCAGTAACAATTAGGGGAAAAAAATTCAGCTCTTATTCACAAGTCCCTGCTTAAGGTTTTGAGTTAAGTATCATTATACCACACCACCAGCCCAACTAATTATTTCCTATTTTAATTAGTAGATTTTTAAATGGCCTGATTTGACTTCAAAAATAAGAATTCACTGCAACTTAAGTGTTAGTAGAGCAATGAAATAAAATGGAGCTAGAAAACTTTGTCTTCTTCTGTGTGTGATATACTTTGAATATATACCTAAAATTTAAGTTGAAACATTAATGTTTTGGTCAATATTAATGTTAGAAACAAGGTTCCAATGCCATGCTGCAAATTTATTTTAATGAGTCAGTAGCTTTTCACTCTAGTGCTTAATAACTAAACCAACCGAAGGTGGTATTGAGGTTGTTCCCCATCGTTTAAAAGGCAGTAACTGTTTAAAAGACACAGGGCCTGTTCTACCATCCTTAGAGATTTCTTTTGGGGCCACACACTTTGAGGAATGTTGGCTAGGCGGGGCATGTCCAGAGGGGAAGGACTGTGTAAATGAAGAGTTTAGAGACCATGGTGTAAGGACACACGGAGGATGTCTAACCTGAAGACAAGAATGGTTGAGGTGAGGAGGGCATGATAGCTTTCTTCTGACACAGAAGAGTGTACTCTTAGATGAGGGATTAAACTTCTCTGTGAGGGCAACTAAGACCGATAAATGAAAGTTATGGAGAAGAAGATTCCAGCCCATTGGAGGAAGATATTTCAAAGCTGTTGGACTGCCCTGGAGAGGAGTGGACTGCCTCACGAAGCCAAGAGTTCTTAGTCACTGGACATATTTAAGCAGAGACTTAAGATGCTGTAAACGTGTTTCAGGTATCAGCCAAATGATTACTTAAAAACACATTCCAATCTGAACTATGACTCTTAACCTACTAAGTGCTCCTCCAAAAAAGGCACAATTAAACTCTTAAAAAGGAAGAACAAGTTTTGTCTGAGCTTCTCAAGGACAGGATCTTTTTACACCCATACTCTGTGGCAAAATAAATGGTGTGCATGGGTGTATGTTAACTGAAATTAAAAGTCCTTTGGGTGAAAATGTTTGTAAGGGCAGAATTTAAAGATAGCCTTATATTGTTTATTTAAAAACAGCCAGAAAAATGTTAGGCTTCAAATCCAGAGGTTAGAAACTGATCTTTAGTTTCTATGAACTACTACAAAAAATAAAAGCAAGGTTAGAATCCATTACTAACTTTTATCTCCATGCGTTTTTTTTTTTTTGTTGTTGTTTTTTAATTGAGGATTTTAGTGCAGATATAGAAGAGGATCATAGGGCCAATTTGAGGATATTCATTGTTCTAAACTAAACAAGGACTCTACTTGGGGAGTAGATGGCAAAAAGCATAATTGGTGAAATTTTTTTTTGGTGAGCACTTGTACTGAATTTTTTATAAATCAAGTTTTTTGTTTTTCATACTGGCTACATCAGTATAGAGCAGTAACTTTGTTTAGCAAGTCTCATGATTGTTTCTGTAAATGAATATTATTTGTGGGAAAATAAGGAGGGAGATGCTGTAATAGGAGTTTTATTATAATATTTTATTCTAGATATTTTATAGGATTTTCTAGTTCCCAAATGCTTTTATATAAATGTTTTCCTTGGGTCTGTGTAATGGAATTGCCATTTTTACAGTTAAGGAAACAGAGGCAAAATGTTGGGTGACTTTGCTCAGGGTCACTTTGGATGGTGGAGTTGGAATTTGGTTCCAGGTCTTCCTACTCCTAATCCCATACACTTTCTAATACATCGCCTGCTGGCCTGCCCATGTGTCTATCAGTTTCTAGCAAGTAAGACACCTACCACATGCATCAATTAACTCAGGCCCTATTTTGTCTTTCATTGTGTAGGTTACTCATAAATTCCTTGGTAAACACATATAAGTTTGTAAATTTCCACATGAATGTTTGAGTTTCACACGCTGTCCCTTTTTCATGGATGGTCAATATTTACTTTGGTGATATTGCTGTTTAAGGTGCGTGCATGTTTTAATTAAGTACATATTATGTTAGTGTTCTACACAGGGAAAATAAAACTGGTTCATTAAATAACTACATGTTCTTCCCAGAAGTAGACATTTGCCTTCATATATGCCAGTTTTACCTACTTCCAAATTGCCCTTCCCAAAGGCAATTTAAAATTTATATATTTTGAAAGTAGTTTCCATGTAATATAAATGATAACAATCTTTGTATTTCAGACCATAGAGCAAGTGCTCAGAAAATACTTGTTTCAAGAATGAATGACTTAATGATATAATAAACTACTACTGCATTAACAAAAACTAGCCCCTAAAATACACCTATTGGAAAATATATATGGAACACTGAGCTTGTAAAAAGTTTTCCTTCAGCCATGAGTGACAGTCTGAGCTTGGTTCTGCAAGGCCTGGAAGATTTTGGTGTTTCACACTACATAGGTTAGCTCAGTCCTAATGGCTCCTGCCCTGATTTACGATTTACATACATAGTCTACATACCTTTCTAAACAAATAGAGCAATGTATATTGATGACAGCAGATACATTTTTATACCTATATACACATGTGCATGGATGCGTATACAAGTACAGATATGTAAGCAAACACTCCTAGTAGTACCCATGGTTAGAATTTAGTCCACTACCTCCAAGACTACCTGCCCTCGTGGAGGGGTCTCTGAAGTCTTCTTTGCCTTTGTTGGGGGGACTCACCACAGGTTTGGAGTAAGCCGCAGATCCCCAGCCTCCATTGACAGGCAGAATACCCAGTCAGATATTGGTGGCAGTGGAAAATCCACACCCAGCTGGCAAAGGAGTGAGGACAGCATTGCCGACCAGATGGGTAAGTAACTTCTACAAGTTGCTTTTCCCACAAGGTGACTTTGGCCACCTCTTGATGATATCTTTGAAGCATTCTGTTATACAGTAGAGCCCTAGTTAATAAAGATGAATTAGAATTAAGTCTCTGTTAGATTATTTATTGGAAAAAGCAACAAATAAGCCCTGAGCCAGGGAATCTTAAATGACCCTGCATTTCAAACTAGAAAGGACATATTTTCAGCTCCAAGACTAAAAGCCAGACTACCCAATGTGTCCTAAGTACCTCCCTCCCCCTTGTTTGTTTGTTTTTTTGCCTAGTTTAAATGGTCGTTGGTATTCTTAATGTAGAGTTTAAATAAATAAATAAACTGTGTACAAAGTGGGAAAGAGAAACAATTATTTTTTAAACAGTCACATCTGTAGCTTGGTTAGAATCTCCTCCTTTATGTGTTTTTTTTTTTTTTTTCCCCTGTGCACTGTGCTATTAAGCTGTCAGCTGAGGCAGTGGCTTGGTAGCATATAATAGCTGGATGGAAAGATTTGCATTAGTGAGCCCTCCTTTGGATTTCTGGCTTACAGTCCTTCTTCTCTATGTGTGTTGTTGTTCTACAATGACACCATAACACTAGTTGACATAATATTTTGCCATGGAACAAGATTAAGCTTGAACACAATAGCATCAGGGATTTGGTATTAACATCAGGGACTTGAATCTGGACTGTTGGCTTTTTTTCCTTTCTCTTACCTCTAGTAGCATTACCCTCATGTGGGATTAAATAAAGTAAATTTTAGGGCTGAAAAAGATAAACGTTTAGGGCAAAGACCTATCTTTTTATCTTCTCTGCAAATCCGTTGTTTTGTCCTGTATTAATGACTGTGCCTGTGTAAACGTACTAACCAGGAACATAAAAGGGAATGGAGATGGGAGTGAGTTAAGACTGGAGATGAGGGAGAGAAATGTAAATCTTAGGTTCCTAAGATGTGCATTGCTCCAGTAACTTCCCTACGATGTGCCTTGTTACTAAAGCCATCTGTAGGCCCCCACTCTCCTCCCACCCACCCCCAGTGCAGAAAACCTGAGCGGGTACGGATCCGCTGTTCTGCTCTTGACAGAATGTTTTTAATCCCATATGTTTTGATACTGTTGAGATGGTAACGCCACATGTAAAAAGGATCCCTTGTTTAGCGTGACTTAAGCAGCTTTTTTTGGCTCCCAGTGCAGGCTTTGAACAAAGCTGCCAGCAAACCCTTTGTACACTGTACAGTGTCACACTTCCCACTTCCACGAAGTCATAAGAGGCATGAAAATGCATCTTGGGATTGGAAGGGGTAATTATGAGGTTCATCTTAGCCCCATATTCATTCGTTCACATAAAACTCCCTCTTGTCTTTTATCCTTTGCATCCATTTTAGTTTAGTGGCATCCCACTCTTAATAGATAAGACCCTCAAATTAATATGGATTAATCTTTTTTATGCATTCATCCTTTTAGAAAGTATACCTTTTTTTAAATAAGATACTGCTTATTAAAAGCCTGCCGGAGAAGCCTTTTCACCACAGTGTGTAAGTTGTGGCCTTTCTCCATCCAAAAGTCTAAGGCTTGGAATGTCTTAAAATAAATGTTTATAATTTTTGATATCTCAGCATTATAGAAGAATAACCCAGGTTTCTGCAGTTGACACATCAGAAGAAATGAGGGGCTTAGTTGATATAAAACATGCTAAGGAGAATTCAAGGAAAGTAATTGTCTGCTAAATTTTCATTACTCAATACACTATATAGAATGTGTAAAGGACTGACCTTTTTACACTCAATTTGTAAGAAAAAAATTCTCTAACGACTTGCAGTTCACCCGCTGAGAATGTTGAGAAGATTCTTATTTGTTAGCTGGACCTCCCTTTCTTTGTACATCAGTGTGTTGTAAACCAGTACCCCACTGACAGCGGAGAGAAGGGATTCATCTTGCTTAATTGGTTCACTCATCTCCCTGGTTTGTTTTTTTGCCTCTCTGCTTTTGGAAATGGCCGAGAGTCAGAATAAGAGTGTGTTGCCCAGTCCTTACATTTTACGAAAGGTATTATAAAAGTCCAGAATTGTTGCTGTTAGCTGTAGGTGTGTTAAAGAGGATAAATGGCTTATCTTTCACCTTTGGAACCCCATCTTAATGCCAGCTTGGAGTCCCAAAGGAAGCAATTGTTTTAAGTAAACTAGTTGCTGTGTGTCTTTTCTGTTGTGCTTAGCTTACAGTTATAGAGGACCTCAGGATTTCAATTCTTTTGTCCTCGAGCAGCATGAATATACAGGTAAAATATTTCCAAAGTGTCATGGTAAGTAACACGTAATTGCATCCGTGCCTGTCTAGGTAATGTAGACAAAGCTAGGTTAGCCAAACTTTGTGATGAATGAATTTCGTAAGTTTAACCCATATATTTTAAACTTTTCCCCAAACCAAAAGTTGATTCCAAACACTGCCGTGTTGTTCATGGCCTTTGGTTTGGTGGTACTTGGCTATGCTAATGTGTATGACATGACACATTGTCACCAGCTGCAAGCTTTATCCATCAGCCACTTAGTTTCTGACATGCTGTCTATTGTATAAACTTTCAACAAGCTTATTGCTGGAATTCAGAGTTTGCTGGTCAGTGAACTGAAAGATGCAATGGCAAGCCGTCTTCATTTGTCAACATGTGCTTGTATCCATTTAGTGCCTGCACCATAATGTCCTGTGCTATATTCCAGAGCCAACGTGCCACCTCCCAGCAGTATCAAAGGTACTGCCCGCTTTCCGTGAGAGCCCCAGTGGGAGATTGATACGGCAGGATCCAGTGGTTCATTTGTCTCCAAACAAGCAAGGGCATGTAAGTTAACTGTAAAATAATAAAATCAATAGCTTCCTAGCAAAGTGCCTTCCTTGCAACATGAAAATGGTACAGGTCCACGCTGCTATTTCCTCTGCAGGGTCAAAGAGGAGAATATCCTGGCAGAGGTTGGGCATTCACTGAAATGTCTATGGCCATGGCCCTAAGGGTGTTTTTAGATAAATTGTAATCCCTCATTGGTATGCACCTCCATAGGTCTGGGTGATCTGGGTGGAAAGCCACCTTCCCCAATCATATGCAATCCTAAAATGCTAGGAATAGAAATACACTGGAAATGAATGTCATTTGCTTACACAATAGCAAGCATGACATATGGTTGGAGTATCTGTCAAGGGAACAACTTCCCCTAAACTCCCCTCTACTGCTTCTGTTATCTTCCATAGTGGCATGTATTTTTATGCTTTTACGTAGTGATACAGAATTACCTTATCACTTACAGGTAGAATGGGAAATAAAGAAGTTACCATTTTCCTTTGGAATGCGGTTGGTTTCCTTGGCCAGTCTCTTCACTGGATTGTGTGTTTATATTCAGGTCATATTATAGGATGAGGAAATACTGCATTTCATATTATGTAACTAACATGTAAGATGCTCAGGAAAGTTTTAATGGGGAGGGGCAGCATAAGTTTTGCTCTAGAGAAAGCTAAAAAGCAAGAGAGAGAGCACCCAGTATGTATTCCAAGCCCTGCACTATGCACCATGGAGAGAGACTTCCTGTGGAAATGTGATGTTATCACATATCACACAAGTGACAGACTCAATAGATTATCAGCCAGTCTGTGGATCCCCATCCCTGCTGTACTCCTAGGCCTCTTACCTAATCATAGCATAGATATAATCATTTAGAGCTCATAAAAGGTTTGAGAGCGCAGGAGCTTTAGAACACTCAAAAAGTAAAAATGATTTAAAAAAAATTTTTTTTTCTTCCACAAACAATTCTTAGGTGATGCCCCACCTAGTGTATCTTCAGAGAGTACAAACTAATTTTAATATTAAACTAAGAAAAAAGATAGATCTACAGATAATCATATGATCAAAAACCTTACAAAGCTCAGTGGTGCATTCCTGAGGCTCATTATTCGCTTTCCCCAGTGTCCTTGCTCTGACTTCATCATCCCCTGAGCAGGATAGGGGAGGAGAAGTGATAGGAACTGTATACATAGGGAGCCACTGCATTCGAGGTGGGAGCTCCTTGTCTTGTGGCTTGAAAGGGACTTCTAGTAAAGCTCCCCAACAAACTCTCCCAAACCCATTTCCTCTCTGACATCAAGGAGTCTACTACGGTGACTTTACCTCCTTGGTTTTGGCTTTCCTTCCTTTTAAACTACAAATACCCTAAGAAAGTTAAGGCTTCAGTCATTTCTGGAGAAGAGAATTTAAGAAGAAGAGAGTCCTTTGTAGGTACCTCAAGGAGGAAGGGAGGAAAAACGTGGTCATAAAACAGAGATTCTGAGGTTCCTTAAAACACATTTTTCCCCATTTGTGCCCAGGACTGAGCCTGTGGAGAGAATAAACACCAAAGACTGAATTGTGGGAATGTTGAATTGCTATGTGGTAGGACTCTTTGAAAACAGTATCTAACTGAGAGCCCATGAAAAGAAGTTAAGGAGGGGTGAGTGGTGAGCCACAGTATTCCCACCACAGGAAGGAAGAGAGCGAATAGGTGTGTGTCAGAATTCACAGGTGGACCTGTTGTTGTTAGGTGCTGTCAAGTCGGTTCTGACTCATAGCGACCCTGTGTACAACAGAACAAAACACTGTCCTGTCCTGTGCCATCCTCACAATCATCGTTATGCTTGAGCCCATTGTTGCAGCCACTGTGTCAGTCCATCTTGTTGAGGGTCTTCCTCTTTTTCGCTGATGCTCTACTTTATCAAGCATGATGTCTTTCTCCAGGGGCTAGTCCCTCCTGATAACTTGTCCAAAGTATGTGAGACATAGTCTCACCATCCGTGCTTCTAAGGAGCATTCTGGTTGTACTTCTTCCAAGACAGATTTGTTCCTTCTTTAGGCAGTCCATGGTATATTCAATATTCTTCACTAACACCACAATTCAAAGGCTTCAATTCTTTTTCCTTATTTATCGTCCAGCTTTCACATGTATATGAGGTGATTGAAAACACCATGGCTTGAGTGAGGCACACCTTAGTCTTCAAGGTGACATTGTTGCCTTTTAACACTTCAGAGAGGTTTTTTGCAGCAGATTTGTGCAATGCAATGTCATTTGATTTCTGGACTGCTGCTGTTTCTATGGGAGTTGATTGTGGATCCAAGTAAAATGAAATCCTTGACAACTTCAGCCTTTTCTCCATTTATCATGATGTTGCTTATTGGTCAAGCTGTGAGGATTTTTGTTTTCTTTACGCTGAGGTGTAATCCATACTGAAGGATGTAGTCTTTAATCTTCATCAGAGTTGATGAAGAGCAAGTGGACCTAAGTTAGCCCAAAGGATGTTTTTCTTCATGTAAAATTTTTCCTCAGGATAACGAATGTCCAAATCCTTCATCAGATTTCTGTTTCATTGTATTGAACCACAGGCTGGAAGCTAACTACTACTTCCTTTCTTGTGTGGCCTCACGACAACACTTGGAGTTTTTTGCTTGATTGTTACTGTCTAGAGCTACCCTGTTTGTTATATTAGCTCTTACCCACACCTTGAGCACCTGAAATGTGGCTCATGTGACCGATGACTGAACTGAGATGTGCTGCAAGTGTAAAATGCACACTGGATTTTGAAGGCTTAGAATGAAAAATATCTCAATAATTTTTTAATGTTGATTCCATGTTGAAATGATAATATTTTTGATATATTGGGTTAAATAAAATATATTATTAAATTACTTCCACCTGTTTCTTTTTACTTTTTTTTTTTTAATTTGGCTGCTAGAAAATTTTAAATTACGTATGTAGCTCACATTATATTTCTATAGAATTCTAGTATGTACTTTATACTCTTGGCACATCTCAATTCAGACTAACCACATTTAATGTGCTGAGTAGCCACCTGTGGGTAGGGGCTTTTTAGATCCAGAGTTATGATGGATCTAAAAATATGAAAACAGTTATTGAGGAAAACTAGAGTAATATCACTGAAGTGACTGGGATTTTTTTTTTTTTTTTAAGGAGAAGAGACTTTTGCTTTGAAGTGAAACTGGAGTATCCTCCTCATGCCCCTATCCCCAGCCAGTAAAGAGCACGCCTCTTTCTCGGCCACAGTATATTGATATATTTATACACAAACAGACACACTCTTCCTTCTCTCTTCTTTTTTCTTACTTTCCACCACATATCTGGACTTCCTGCCTCTCTTTAGTTTAAAATATATTTTATTCAGATATCTTTTTAAACTTTACTTTTTCCCCTCATTTTCTTTAAGTAGGGACTTACCTGTTTTGAGGTTTTTGGTAAAGTCTTTAAAATGTTCTCTCTAAACAACTAAGCCACTATGTAGAAAGGGTTCTGTATAATTTTTTTGTTTAATTGAGATAAAATTCACATGCCATAATATTCACCCCTTTAAAGTATACATGTCAATGGTTTGTATGGGCAACCATCACCACTATCTTAATTCCAGAACATTTTTATCACCCCAAAAAGAAACTCAGTACCAGTTAGCAGTCACTCCCCATCTGCCCCCCTACCCCACTGCTCTAACCACTAATCCACTTGCTATCTCTATGGATTTGCCTATTCTGGACATTTCATGGAAAAGGAATCATACAATATGTGGCCTTTTGTATCTGGCCTCTTTCACTTAGCATAATGTTTTCAAGGATCATCCATGTTGTAGCATGCATCAGTCCTTCATTCCTTTTTTATGGCTGATAATATTTTACTGTATAGAAAAACCATATTTTATCCATTCATCAATTGATGGGCATTTGGGTTTCTACTTTTGGACTATTATGAGTAGTGCAGCTATAAACATTCATGTGAAAGTTTTTATATGAACGGATGATTTTAATAGTCTTGGATATATACCTAAGAGTAGAATTGCTGCACCATATGATAACTCTGTGCTTAACTTTTTTAAGAACTGCCAAGCTGTTTTCCACAGCAGCTGCACCATGTTACATTCCCACGAGCGATGTATGAGGGTTCCAATTTCTCCACATCCTTGTCAACATTTGTTATTGTCTGCCTTTTGATTATAGCCTTCCTAGTGGGTATAAAGTGGTATCTCATTGTGGTTTTGATTTGCATTTCTCTGATGACTAATGATGTTGAGCATCTTTTCCTGTGATTATTGGCCATTTCTATATCTTCTTTGGAGAAATGTCTATTCAAGTCCTTTACCCACTTTTAATTGGGTTATTTGTCTTTATTGCTGAGCTGTAAGAGTTCTTTATATATATTCTGTGTACCAGTCCCTTGTTAGATATGATTTGCAAATATTTTGTCCCATTTTTGGGTTGTCTTTTCACTTTCTGCAGGGTATCACTTGAGACACAGAGGTTTTTAATTTTGATTAAGTCCAAATTATCTACTTTTTCCTTTGTTTCTTGTACTTTTGGTATCATATCTAAGATTGCATAATCCAAGGTCATGAAGGCTTATACTTGTGTTTTCTTCTAAGAGTTTTATAGTTTTTAGCTGTATCATCTGGTCTTTAATTCATTTTGAGTTCATTTTTATATTTGGTATGAGTCCAACTTCATTCTTTTGCATGTGGATACCTAGTTGTCTTAGTCATATAGTGCTGCTGTAATAGAAATACCACAAGTGGATTGCTTTAACAAAGAGAAATTTATTCTCTCACAGGCCAGGAGGCTACAAGTCCAAATTTACAGTGTCAGCTCCAGGGGAAGGCTTTCTCTCTCTCTGTCCACTCTGGGGGAAGGTCCTTGTCATCAGTCTTCCCTTGGTCTGGGAGCATCCCAGTGCAGGAACCTCAGGTCCAAAGGACACGCTCTGCTCCTGGCACTGGTTTCTTGGTGGTATGAGGTCCCCAACTCTCTGCTTACTTCCCTTTGCTTTTATCTTTTGTAAGATAAAAGGTGGTGCAGGCCACACCCCAGGGAAACTCCCTTTACATTGGATCAGAGATGTGACCTGGGTAAGGGTGGTGTTACAATCCCATCCTAATCCTCTTTAACATAAAATTACAATCACAAAATGGAGGACAACCACACAACACTGGGACTCATGGCCTAACCAAGTTGATACATATTTTTGGGGCTCGCATAATTCAGTCCATGACACTAGTTGTCCCAGCACCATTTGTTAAAAAGATTATTCTTTCCCCATTGAATTGTCTGAGCATCTCTGTGTACATTTTGCCTGAGTTCAAAGCATCTTTTGGAGAGGCAACACTCCTTAGAAAGCTGACTACTAAATAGATACTAGTTGGGAAGGGAGAAGAGATCTCTTGAGGATAAGCTTTATATTCAGCCTGTCCTATTTAATTTACTTTTATCCTACCCTATTTACTTTTAGAGTCAAGCATACTTTCTAATTATAGGTCCTTTGGACATGTCATTTCCTTTTTATTTTTAAGCTAAGGTATTAAGGACATTTTAATGATGGTTTAGTTTTTTTTCTCATGAAAATTATCTCAATACTGTTGATACTTTAGCATAAGTCAAATAATGAAAAGTAGATTCTTTGAAACATTTCATATGCTCTCTGCCACCCAGAGTCACAGATTTTCCCAGGTACCTCCTGTCTGACTTTGATTTGTCATCACTGGAACATTTGTGCCTCGAGGACCCCATAACTAGACACACGTCACAGTATTGTTTTCCTATTGTTTTTTCCTGGTGTTTAAGAAGCAGAACCTGAATTTAAGTAAATTCTGCTTCCCTTCCAGTCTGATAGCCACTATTCGAGCCACTCCAGTAGCAATACTCTCTCCAGCAACGCATCGAGTGCCCACAGTGACGAGAAGTGGTATGATGGGGACCGCACTGAATCTGAACTCAGCAGCTATAACTATCTGCAGGGCACCTCTGCGGACAGCGGCATTGACACCACCTCCTACGGCCCCGGCCATGGAAGCACAGCCTCCCTGGGGGCCGCCACATCGTCGCCTCGCTCAGGGCCCGTCAAGGAGAAAGTGGCACCCCTGTGGCACAGCTCCAGTGAAGTGATCTCTTTGGCAGACCGGACTTTAGAGGCAGAGAGCCACGGCATGGACCGGAAAGCAGAGTCTTCCTTGAGCTTGGATATCCACAGCAAGAGCCAAGTAGGCTCGGGCCCTCTGACAAGGGAGAACAGTACTTTCAGTATCAGCGATGCTGCTTCCCACACAAGGTAACTGTCCTTCCATGCTGCTTCTCTGAGTCCCAGCCCACTCCTAAGTCTAGTATCCTGACCTCCGCCTTTATTTGCTCAATAATATATGCAGGAAGGTTTTTCATGCAGTGAAAATTACTTTTATATACAGGTATGTGTCACTTAACGTCCATGATAACATTCTTTGAAATGGGATGTTACGTGATTTGGAGATTGGGTGAACACCACGTTAAAGTCCTATGGGAGCCCGCTTCCGATCGTCCTCGTTGCCGCTGCTGGCTGCTGCTGCTGCTGCTGCTGCTGCTGCTGGAGCTGCTGGCGGAGGCTGGAGGAATGGGCATTGGTTGCTGAGAGGGCAGCGGCGGATGCCACCTACCTGCCTGCCAGACAAAGTCCAAGAGCCCATGCCCAGAGCTATATCTTCTGCCCCACCTGCCTGAATCTCACCCATGGCCAGTACTGCAAGAGTCTGGGTTTGGGGTCTTTAAAACGATTAGGGGAAAATAATAAACAAAAGGAGAACTATTTTCCCTTTTTAAAAAAGAACAACCTTAGGGAACCTGGACATATATGTGGTCAGATGTTGCCCAAACAGAAGTTAAGCAGCACATACCTGTATTTAATGCATTTAATTGCCAGTAAGGTCCCTGGGTGGCACAAATGGTTAAGTGCTTGATACTAACCTAAAGGTTGGTAGGTCGAACCCACCCAGCAGCGCCACAGAAGAAGGGCCTGGCCATCTGCTTCTGTAAAGATTATAGCCAAGAAAACCCTATGGAGCTCAGTTCTACTCTGTAACACGTGGAGCCGCCATGAGTCAGAATCATTGCCAGTAAAATGCTTTATAAATAGGTCCTACAATCCTAATATATTACTTTAAATTGTGAAACAAGTTTTCAGATTTATTCTTTGTAAAGTTGTATTTGAATTTTTTTTTAATTTTCTTAATTGTATACCAGAATTAGAGAGGAAGAATACATCCTTGTAACTTTGGCTTTCAGCTAGTGATAGAGAATGTAGAACGAGACAGTCTTTTGAAGATCTTTTTTAAAAACTCTTGACCATATTTTTAAAAGAAAGAGGTCTTTTCTAAGACTAACCTGACCTTATTTACGATGCTAAACACATCCTTTGCACTGTCGCTGTATCAGAGAACATCACTTATCAGTGTTTGCATGCTCATTTTTACCCCCAGCAACTGGCTCCTCACAATGATGTGTTGGGGAGAGGGAGGAGGTGTCCAACAGAAAAGTTAACAGAAAAATGTAGCAAAACTAGACATATCCCATCTACTTTTAAGAATAGAAAAGTACACATTCGCCAGTATCCTTGGAGATCACCCTGCTAGGCAAAATAAATACTATTTTTCATTTCCTGTTTTGGATTTAAGCGTAAAATCCAAACTATGACAAGGTTCTTCCTTTTAGGAAGGAACCATTCCATCACTATCTTTTTGGGACCTGTTAATTTCTATGGTGGTTTCTCCTTTTATCTTTTACTTTTGTCAGTCATTGATTGCCTTGTGTGACAGCATTTAACCTTGCTCACTTCTGGATCCTTTTTATTGTTACTGCCTTAAGAAATAGTAGAGAAGCTCAATTTAGTTTTAATTTTCAAATGGCAATTCAAGGAATCCAGGCACATAATCTGTCAGTAAGCCCTAGATAACCTTAATGAGAAAGAGCATCCTCTACTTAATTTGGATTTCAGTACTCAGGTCGTACCTTGTAGCTATATGTTTACCGATAAGATTATTGACCTTCCTGTCCTTTAAAATCCCTGTTCTTAAAATCTTTTAAATCCCCCTGGTTTCTCTATCAGCCCAGAACTATAACAATTTCCAAGGCCAACTCTTCAGACAGGGATTGGACTAGACTGTGGGACATAAAGTGATACTCGTGATGTGTGTGCCTCTTAGCTCAAGTAGATGCAAGAGACTAAATGGGCAGCTTCTGTCCAGAGGTGAGATGGGAAGGCAGAGGGGTTAAGAGCTGGTTGAGTGGACATGGGGAGTCAGAGGTGGAAAGGAGGAGTGTGCTGTCACAGTATGGGGAGAGCAATTAGAGTCACATAACAATGTATGTATAAATTTTTGTATGGGAAAAAATTAAAAAATTAAAAAAAAAAAATCTTTTAAAATCTCTGTGGCATGAGACATCTCAGGAGTTTTGTTCCTGTTTACTACTCCCATGCTGCTGTAGTGACCGTGATTGTATCCAGAAGGAGATTGAGAAGTAGTCTCTGCATTCTCGAGTAGCAGGCATCCGGTTAACTTTCTGCAATTCAGAAAATAGGATGTTTGATTCAAGTGGTTAAGGGAAGTCTTGGGGAAAACAGAACAGAAAGCTAGGCATCAAATATATAAATATAATACAGACCCAGAATCACGTGGCACAGAATTATGACATTTGCTTGCTGTTTTGGCAAACCCCATCACCTCATTGACTATATAGATCCTGCTTTGACTTAGGACAGTTGTCAAATCAGAATAGTCTCTCTGTGGCTTCAAGGTTTAGCTTGACTCATATTTCTTTGGGGTTTTTTTTTTTTTTTTTGAAAGGAGTATGTCGTTTTAGGAATGATATTCCGTCTGGAGCTATGTCTCTGGTCTAATTTGATGGCAGAAGAAAGCCGGTTATAGAGGTCTTGTCTAGAATGGAACCACCGTGGAGTAAGCTTGAAAAGAGCTGGGCCTCTGGAGCCGAAGCAAAAAGAATGTGGCTGAGCCATTGTCTAACAAATCCCATGGGATCTACAATGCCCTCTGAAATTAGGCACCTGGGCATGCATTGTCTAAATTCGCTGATTGGGACTCAAGGGATTGTCTAAATGTTCTGCTTCAATCTGGCCATGCAGAAAACATTTAAATTATCATTTAGAAATAACTTCTATTGAAAGTCAAACTTACTAGGGAAGAAAAAAATGTGGCCTTTCAGGGACGGTGGCAGTGCATCCCACCTACTGATAGGTTGAATTACATTCCTTTCTAGACTCTGGTAAAGTTGGCGGCTTTGTGATTTCATTCTGTTGATCTTGGCAGGGTGAGTTGGATTACCAGAGATTTAGCAGCCTTCCTTTTCTGGAGCAAAAGGGAAATCAGCCACCAAATGCACATTGCTGGAGAAGCTAACATCACTGCAAATTAGAGTGTTTGTGTCCTCTGAAGACAGGAACAGCAATTAATGTGGAGATCCCTTGACAGTACATACAAGAGCTTGTACCTGGGACTCGGTGACAGAAACCAAATTACAGTGATTAAGTTCCACTGCATATTCCTGGCTGGGCTCTGTTCCTACCCTCTCTGTCCTCTGTGTCCCTGTTGATGATTGTGCAGGTTTTTTGTGGCACCCATGAGAACTTCATTAACATAGGTCGGTAATTACATAGGATTGTTGTATTCGACTGTCATTAAGAGAAGCCATACACACTGATAACTTCCTACCATTAAAAATGTCTATTAATTGCTCTAAAATGTTGCTCCTTACAATGTCTGTGTATTTTCTATGAAACTTAAAAATTTAAGGAGAGATTTTAATTTTTGTTGCAGTTGTTGTTTCACTTTCGGCTCTTAAAGTGAATCACTCAAAAAAAAAAAAATAGTTCCAATTTTAATACACTCTCACCAGCTGGGTTCTTTTTTTTTTTCTGAGAGTTCTGGCCTTGCCAGTTTGTGGGCCACTAAAGGCCTCCTCAGTTAACGTTGAGGAGCTCTAGTCCTGCTGATGGATGGATGGTATTGCCTGTGTACCTAGACTTAAAACCAGTTGTCATTGAGTCAGTTCTGACTCATGGCAGCCACATTATAGAGCTAGAAACATTGCCTTGTAAGTACACATACCGTGTCTTCTGTTACATACTAAGTTGACCTGGTTTGTGTCTAGCCTATTACCTCCACCCCCTGTAGCCAGTCATCTGCTTATGTCAGGACTTTCTCTTGCTTCCCTTAGGCCCTTGCCCTACCCCTGTAGCCAATTAGTAACCACTTATGTGATCACTTACAAATGTTTACTGCCCTCCTATACAAGAGTATTTCTCACCCAGTATACTTATCCTAGGGGCCCTGGTGGCATAGTGGTTAAGAGCTTGGATGCTAACCAACAGGTCGTAGTTTGAATCCACGAGCCACTCCTTGGAAACCCTATGGGGCAGTTCTACCCTGTCCTGTGGGGTCACTATGAGTTGGAATCGACTTGACAGCAATGGGTTTGTTTGTTTTGTGTGTGTGTGTGTATGTGCTCATCCTAAGCACCTTGCGTAGTGGGAGCTTCCATAAGCATAATAGATGCTCAGTAAATTTTGGTGAATGAATAAAGGAGTAACTTCCTCCTTAATGTTTCTACTTTTTGCCTGATGACTCAAAGCCCTTACTAATAAACCAGTTTGAAAGTAGCATAAATCTTCAACTGCTGACTCTTTTGGAAAACCACTACTACATTTCAAAGCTTATTTTTATATATGCCAATATTGGCACAGAGCCATAGTGCTATATGCTTTATGTGTGTAAAGTACTTTTATGTACATAAAGCCATTGTACAGCATGATTTTTAATAAAGCTATGTTCTATATAAGGTAAAAAGTCTGAAAAGTAGACTGTTGCCCTAAGATAACCTTTGAACTTGGATTTGAAGCTATTTCTGTAGGTCACCTTTCAGCCAAATAATAGATTGGCTTATAAAAGAAACAGTATCACCCGTGAGTAATATGCTCCCTTAAACAATTAGCTATATGAGACCAAACAGTCAGCATTTACCCAAAAGGAAAGATTAGAAGGCAAGGAGGGGAAGGGAAGCTAAATCAACAGAAACAGAGCAAACAGAATGGAAATAATGAGAATGCTGACACATAGTAAAAATTGTAACCAATGGCACAGAACAATTTGTATAAAAATTGTTAAGTAGGAACCTGATTTGCTGTGTAAACTTTCACCTAAAACACAATAAAATATTTAAAAATATCTGGAAAATATAACAGGGAGGGACTTTATAACAGCTTACATACAAATGTCAATCAATATTTCT